GTTTTGGCTTTGTCATAGTTTTCAGGTATAACACGATTACCTGGTAAACGCGACACAGTTGTAATAAACTCTTTGTTCGTGCGTGACTTGTGTCTGCATGCTATGTTCTAAAAGAATTGGTTAATGCTTTAAGTTGTGCGTATACCGAGTTATGAATGTACTTGGGAAGCTTGGAGAGAAGCAAGAACTGCTCTCGGCTACGCCTCGAGTAAGTCTAACGCTTCTCACGTGTTCTCCAAACCTCCCACACGTATCCATAAATCTACATACCCACGCTACGCATGAACCAATCATTCAATAAACTGAGATAGCTTTATTTAACTGGCTAAAAACTAATTTTACTCGCAGGTGCGACTTATGGAGATGGTGTTTATTTCGCGACTGAGTCTTCCTACTCTTTATCTTTCTCGAAGCCACCCAACAGCAAGGGAGAGTACTGCATGTATCTTGCAAGAGTGTTAGCGGGTAAATACGCAGATGGCGAGAAAGGGATGAGGCAACCACCCATTCACCAGGAGAGACCTGATCTTCGATTTGACTCGGTGGTAGACACCTCAAACGATCCAACTATATTCGTCATATTCCATGACGATCAGTGTTATCCTGAATATCTTATTACCTTTACGCGGCCAGCCGACGGTTACGCTGCAACGTAAATTAAGTTTTACGTACCTCGGGAGCAACTGGCGTAAACAAACCAAAAAGAGCTTTGGATAACTTGTGTAAAAGTTACACATTCAGTATGTAAACAAAATTGTTATATTATCCAAGATGGTGTTTTGTTTCCTCACACTTTTAAGAACAGATTCATGCAATAGCACTTTCCCCAGAGTGCAGGAAACTAATTTGTTAAGGTTATTGAAAGAGATTAGAGTACTGAGGTGACTTGTCACAAATTTAATGGTGGTGCTTTGTGACTTTTGTAGGCCAGATCAAGCGTTCCATTAGAGACTTAATCTTAGTGAATATTTTTCGAAATGTGAAATGACACAATTATCTGGGAATGATTTCACAGCATTGAAAGTTACATTTTTGACGTTTGGAATGGACAGTTCGGTAAGAAGTTATGGAAAATGTTGTTGTTCATGGAGGTTTCGTAGACAAATGAACCGTTTAATCGTTTCATATATTTTTTGTAATTCTTTATAGTTTCCTCCTTATGTCTTTAGATTAGTGTGTTAATAACCTCTTACTAACCAAGAATGAGGTCGTTACCGGAAAACCTCAAACTGGGCCCAGGTCATTACGGGAGGAAAATGTCCAACTTTCATCTAGATCAGAGTCCATAAAAACATGCAATATATCAGACAAAAACCCAGAAAGGATTTTTAGTTTTACTGTACTGTTTCTGTCACCTTCACTGTCTATTTAAGTGTTGTTCCAACTTCACTGTCACTGTCACTGTCACTGTCTCTCTTTCTGTCACTGTCACTGTTTCTGTGTTTGTACAAGTCACTGTCACTATCACTGTCCCTGTCACTGTTAGTGTTAATGCCACTGTCTTTGTCAGAGTCACTATTTCAGACACCGTCACTGTCGATGTCTGTCACAGTCTCCAGATCATTTACCGTTACAATCTCTGTCTCTGTCTGTGTCAGTTTCAATGTCAATGTCATTGCCACTGCCACTACAACTGTCACCACCACTGTCACTGTCAATGTCTTTTTTAAGTTACTGTTACAGCCACTATCTCTGTTTTAGCCACTGTTACTTCATTGTGACTGTCTCTTTGACTCACAGTTACCGTCACTGTCAGTGTCACTCTCTCTGTCATTTCAACCTCCACTGTCATTGTCCTTGTTTTTGTCACTGTCGGTGTGGCTGTCTTTGTTCTTGTCTCTATCACCCCCATTTCTATACTTGTGCAAAGGTGCTAATTACATTGTTTGTGCAACACACTGTAGCATCATTTTGATTTTCGCTCTCATTGTCACTGTCTCTGGAATTAGCAATGTCGCTGTAACTAAACTTAGCAGTGTCTTATCACTTCATTGTCGCTGTCAAATGTTAATAATTACTGACCCTCATAAAATCCTATTGTTCTCTCTCAGCATTATATCGGCGATTTCAGCCTGAGAAAGTATTCATATTCAGTCAAGTCCAACTGTCTGAGGAAAACGGTGGCGGTCCTTTTTGGTAGCAGGGAAATTATCAGGGGTAATCCTAAACGCGCTAAAACGTTCAATATTGCAGTGGGCTGGCTGCACTGCAATATTTTTAATAATGCAGCCTGCTTCCAGCAATATTTTTAATATTGCTGCATGACTGTGGTATTTACTTCGTTACTTTTCCACTCAGTAATTTTTGAAAATTCGCGAATGTCCGCGCATAATTTATGATGAAGATCTGAAGTTAAAAAGTAAATGAATACACCATGAGAAGTACCATTCCAGGAGACTACAGACGAAAACATTTTACAGTTTATTTAGGGCACATCTGACAATGACAGTCTTTCTCACTTGTAAGAAATAACAATTTTCGTACTGTGAGTACTAATTACAACTGACTGATTATAATCTTCGCTCTGGTTTTCGTCTAAAACCTTTTCGCTTAACCCCTGTAACCCTGTTTCTTCCCTTTGTCCATCGTCTTCCGAAGAATCCTCCATCAAGCTTCAAAACAGTAGCAACTCTTTGCCTTCCAACAAACAACTCAAATAACCAAGTGCATTGCGTTAATATACAATGCAAATTACGTTTGCATGAAATTCAATCACACACCTGAAAGATGTGGAAAGTTACATAATCTTTACAAGGATTTAACAATGACTAAATTCCGGGGAATGAATAGGGTTATGTAATTTGTATAACTACTAGACAATACGTGCTAATTGCATTGTCTAGTAGGATTTCATGAAGTCAATGATTATATCATCTTTGCAAGTAGTTAACAATGGCTGAATTGGGGAATGAAAAAGGATTATGCAATTTGTATTATTACTGGACAATGCTTGCCAGTTGCATTGTTGGTGTACCAAAACATCAATATGAAGGGGCGACTGAAATCGTCGATGTAATGCAGAGAGAGAACAATAGGATTTTATGAGGGTCAATAATTATAATAGTTAATTACTTCGGTTCGTCATTATTGGGTATAATGTCGCTGTCAAATGTTATTATCATTGTCTCAGGCACTGTCTTTTCACAGTCTCTGTTACTCTCTCAGTTGTTGCCACCGTAACTGAATGGTTAAGCTTTCGTTCATTGTAAGGTTGTGGGTTTTTGACCGTCCTCCGCGTGTCGATCAGGGGACTGACTGAGTGATGAATAGAGAGTAATAAGTGTGCGCGCGTAGATATGGAATTTCTCTTCGAATGTTTAACTCGATAACCAACGAGTGAACGCAGCGAACGGGAAAGATGTCGAGTTGAACACGAGAAGAGAAATTTCATATCTACAAGCAACCATGTATAATTTTGTCCATCACATAAACACAATAGCCCTTTTCTGACTAGAAGAGTCGACTTTATTAATGAATGAAAATAAGAGGATCGACAACCCCCAAATAAAAATTGGAAAGTGCCTTGGCGCACTCAAGAATAAAACAAGCGTTGAATCACCACAAAATAAACAATGGGCGTAATTGTCAATATTACAAATTCTTAGTTATTGACTTGGGCCTTACCAAAAAAAATCGGCCTGTGGCAAATCTTCCAGATGTCGATTTTTGTTCTCAGTCGCGAGAAATGCCATCACCAAAGTCACTGAATACTTTACTTTCGGTTTTTCTTTTCGTATTTTGGTTTGTAAGCGATAGGAAAATTTCAGTGTTATAGCAGAAGTTTTTCTTTCACGCCCAAGTAAACAGATAAGTTTTTTTTCCGTCTACAGTATAATAATCACCAGTGGCAGAAACGGCTGCACCATTCAGCTGTTCGGCATGCGCGTATTTAGGTAGTTTCTCCCAATAAAGGTCGATGAGGTCGGAATTCGAGCCCTTGGAGGGTCATTGTGCCATGCTTTAGGCAAAATACTTTAATCTTACACTTCATCTGTCCACCCAGGAGTATAAATGGGAATCATTTGGGTTATCAGAGAATACTGACGAAATGCTGAAGGGATAGACTTTATCTGGACTAGATTCCAGGGGGAGTAAAATTACTCCTAGTTGTTTCAGGCCATGGAAAATGGAATAAGATACGACTATGTAGGCCACTTAGCTCGACTACAGAATTTAGCTTTTTTTTTACCCCAGATAAATACTGAGAACATCTGAGTAAACGTTTTCTTAAAGCTCCCTCTTTTTTTGTCCTCAAAAATCCGGCTTTGTGTGGACTTTAAAGAGCAGCGAAATGCAAATTTTGGACTGATTAATGTTGCAGATGTTGGACTGATTACTGTTGCAAATGTTGGACTGATTAATGTTGCAAATGTTGGACTGATTACTGTTGCAAAAGTTGGACTGATTAATGTTGCAGATGTTGGACTGATTACTGTTGCAAAAGTTGGACTGATTAATGTTGCAGATGTTGGACTGATTACTGTTGCAAATGTTGGACTGATTAATGTTGCAGATGTTGGACTGATTACTGTTGCAAATGTTGGACTGATTAATGTTGCAAATGTTGGACTGATTAATACAGATTAGTGTGGGGCAGGGGGGGGGGGTAGGGGGTAGGCCTAAACGAAAGCAGTTGTGTTTTTTGTATTCATCCTTTTAGCTTCTTTAGATGTACTAAATCAGAAGCAGTGTGAACATATGCAAGGACCCTGCACTTCTCTTTGATTGTGACTTTAATCCAAGTGCTATCTTGACGGGGTAAAAAAAAGTTGATAGCAACCATTAGTAAGCTGATAAATTCTGACTTTAGACAAACATGAATTGAAACATCTGCTTCCAATTTCGCTACATACACAAAGCAAAGATGGTAGACGTGTCTTAAAAACTCTAATCATAAAATAAGAGGTCAAATAACCCAGATGGTCATCAACGTATTGTTCAATTCATGGAAGATGATACCATGATACCACAAAAGCACGTATTGTTTTACCGAGCATAATTTTGCCACTCATCAGCAGGATTAGTTAGTATATTGCCATCTTCATTTTGCTGCGATCGTCAGACTGTGATCGTTTCGTTAGGACGATGAAGCTTTTCACGTTATTTCAAATGATTATTTTCGGTTTGTCGGTTGTGCATCTTGGAGAGTCATGTGGAAGTCGGCTGACATTACATACCAGTTCATTTCATGCAAAGCCATCCCAAACGACAACAGAGTAAGTCCACAATTTAAGATGCTTGTTTACAGTTGAGGGCGATGTAGGACAAGGAAAATTGAATATCTAGCCTTAGTAGAATACAAACGTCGATCAAATCATATTTATACCTGACATATTTACACAAGATGTAGCGTGATCATTCTGCGTGAGAAACAGTATTATCATCATCAATTGCTATCATTCACCTCTTACAGGAAACAAGGTGTCCTTATATTTTTCTTAGTCATGGCGATGCTGTTTCTAGTGCGGCATTCGTTGTAGAAAAATTTTCAGACCCATGTATCGGAGATATTCCTCCCTCGTTCTCGTGCATGTTTTTTTTTCCCAAAACTATTCTTGTGTTCATCACTGAGCGCTTATAAGCTACTTAGCGGACCAACGCCTTACTTTCTTCATCCACTTCAAAATAGCATGATGATCTATTACAAAGGAAGAAAATTATCAATAACTAGATTAGTGTTTACGCCTCTTCCAGCTGTTTTCGTTCAGAGAAACCCTCAACTGCAACTTCGTTCATCTCCTTGGATTTTCTTAAAGCATTCCTATCAAATTTGTACTACCCTTGCGAACTGAATTCCCAGTTTTCTGGGAATTCCTAGGAATTCCTAGGAATTCCTAGGAATTCTCAAAAATTCCCAATTATGCAAATGACCCTTGCAAACTGAATTCCCAGTTTTCTGGGAATTTCTGGGAATTTCTGGGAATTTCTGGGAATTTCTGGGAATTCCTAGGAATTCCTAGGAATTCTCAAAAATTCCCAACTATGCAAATTAGCTCTGATTTAAAAAGCTTGGAATTACTGGGAATTTCTGGGAAAGAAAGACTCCAGTTTTGTGAGGACTTGGAATCCCTAGGAATTCCTAGGAATTCTCAGCTTTACAAACTACCTATAATTTAAGAAGTGTGGAACTCTTGGGAATTTCTGGGAATTGAATTTGAGGCAATTTTAATACCCTGAGGTCCACATAAATTCTAAGAAATTCTCAATACCTTGAATGTGAAGGTTTTAAGAAAAAGAGTAATTTCAGAGGCTTAAAACTTTGGCTCAATAAAAGGTATGCTATACAAAACTTACCAAGAGATATACATACATGTACATGTTTATAACTCAAAGATCATGAAATTTATTACTCAAACTAAGTTTTAGTAAATCTTTACATTAATATGGATTTTCTCATGAACCAGCTGTCAGTTATGTTAAATGGAAATTGCCAACTTCCACAATAATTAACAATAATTACATTGTTATCTTACTTCCCTAACCTACATTACTGGTTGCATTTGTTAGAAAATCTTAGAACAGTCAAGCTCAGTTGCCTCCAACTCTGTCAGAGACTTTTTGTTGACAATACTTTTAGTAGAAATTTCATGCCTTAGACAAACAAATTCAACACCTAATTAATCTTTCTTTTTTCATGATTGTTGTTGCTCCTCTTTTTTCAGTGTTTTGCTCTATCTTCATGACTAATTGCTGTAATTTGTTTTGCTGTTTTTATTCTTACAAAACATTTTTGTAAGAGTTCCAATACTTGTGGATCATCCACACACTTTGCAAACATTTGGCATGCAGACAAGACAGAGGTAGTCAATGTTCCCTTTGAGGAAAAACAACTTTTATATGACATCTTCAATTTACTTTATTTGAAACTCTGATCTGAAAATATTTGTCAACAAGACTTGTTAGTAGTGAGAAATACCAACTAAGTTTCCTTTCATAACTTAATTTCTTAAATGTCCCAATCACTGATCTCCCAAAAAACATTACATCTTTTTATTTTTGGTGCAAATTACAAGTCCTTCTTTATATAAAAATGAAAAGTGCTAGTCACACTTCAATAATAACAGCTCTTAAGTTTACTTGTTGTTCTTCTCTGTCTGTCAGCTATCAACAAAATTGTTTTATACTTCGGGCAGTGCATAACTATTTGTGGACCAGAGTTCCAACGCACCTCTGTAATCGCATATAGCTACTTCTGTCTCTTGTACAAATGTTTCTCCTTTGTAAGACGCACTCTACTCTGTTGTCAATACTGCTTTAAGTTCAGTGGAAACGACTGACTGAGGAATCGAGATGGCGGTGTTGGAACGTGTTGCTGAACGCTTTCTACGGTCAAGCTTTGTAGATTTAGGTACTGGTACACTGGGATCATCTATGTATCTCTTATACTTCCGAATGTGGTATCCTTCTTTTATAAATATGAGGGTAAAAGACGATTTGTAGTCGCATTCAAAACTGTGATTGGCTTGTGTTATTTCTCACCTTTGCCATTAACACAACTCAAGTGAGTTTCGAGTCTTTGTTTCCTCGACAACTTTCGGCCACAAAACGAGCATTTGTAATACGATCGATTCTTGTCGATTATTTCTACATAGAGTGAGCTCACATCTTTATTTATATCACCAAGCTATCCATCTTCTAGAAGCAGAGAACCGGTCGGAGAAGTCAGAATGTAGTTGGGCACTTCTCCTAACACTGCAATCGGCAAGCCAGCGGATTCACTCTGCTAGCCAATGACAAGTCCTAAAAGATCCACGTGATCATGCCCGTGATCGGAAACAAAGAAGACTCCATTTGGCGCTCATCTTTGAATGTACTTTTCATCGGTTGATCGCTTTTCTCAACTGTTTTGCTTAATATAACATTTCTAAAGATAGCTTTTATTGTGGTTCAATGGGAAAACGAGAATAGCGTGAGTGTTGTAAAAGAAAAGAAAGTCGTTGGCGCCGTGGAGTTAAAAGAAGGGGCAACAGTTGACATGTTGACTGGTACAAACAAGGGTCGAATGGCCGTCTGTAAAGCTACGATTTTGAAAGTTTGTGGTGAGTAAAAATTGCGATATTCGTTACGTGATCAAAATCTTATAAAAGAATAGATGTAGCGGGTTGAATTAAGCTTACATAACGCTCGGCGCAACTGAAACTAGAATAATTCTGAGAATCGAATCGGTCACTTGCATGCCGCAGTTTCTTAAGCTTATTATGCTTTACAATGAAATAAACCTATCAGTAAGGTTTCAAGATTCCTCTAGTCACGTTTGGGAACATTCAAGATTCAAAATAGGAACTGTTATTAAACAAACCTTATAGTACATAAAGAAGCCCTCCTTGGTAAAAACAAAATAATGTATTCAGCCCTTTTTTAGTAAAATCCATGAGAGAGATGTACTAACTCCAATATGAAAGTCACTCAATATAACAGAGATTTCTCAATTTGAGAATCCAATGAATGCCCTTTTCCTCATAGCCATCTTAAAAGCCTGGTCTGAGCTTTAAATATACATATTTTAATATATTATTTTTTTTCAAATTCAGATGTCAAGGAATCCAGATACAAAATGGTCAAGGATCTTGTTGACAACCTCATTCAAGGCCAACTCATTGTGAGCCCAGGAAAAAAAATACAAACAGTACAAACAGCAGCTAAGTTTGCAGTTTAGGATAACTTCATTCTAATTTATTGTTACGGTTAAAACAAGATTTTAATCAAAAAATCAATTTTATTTGTCTGTAATTAGCCCCTTCACTCCCAAGAGTGCTTGGTTTTCAAATATAACTTAAGATATTGTATTTTATGGAAACGAATCAACAGATTTTATTCACAATTTGTGTCAAACCAAATTTAATGATTGATTAGAACTATTTTATATGAATAGCTGTAATGAGGATTAATCCGTATGAAGTTTTCAAGAAAAGAAAAATAAATCAAATTCCATCCTAATATTACCACACATTGATGTTAATAATTAATCAAAAATATTTTACATGTAAGCCTTAAATTAAGCTTCTAAATAAATTTCATTGAATACTTGAATTTTAGCTGGGTTTTTTTAATTTAAAGTATTTATTTTATATCATTAGCCTCAAATTTTTGCTTAAAATTCCCAGTAATTCTTAAACATTCCTAAAAATTCCCAAAAATTCCCAGAAATTCCCAGAAATTCCCAGAAATTCCTAGGAATTTTTTAGATTTACAGCTTTTCAGGGAAAGTCATTGGTTCTCTGAGTTGGAATTCCTAGGAATTCCTAGGAATTCCTAGGAATTCCAAGTCCTGTTGGCTATAAACTTGGAATTTCTGGGAATTTCTGGGAATTTCTGGGAATTTCTGGGAATTTCTAGGTTTTTAGAACCAGAGTTGTTATGGTTGGGAATTCCTAGGAATTCCTAGGAATTCCTAGGAATTCCCAGTCCGAATTTACCGTGAAAATTCACACCTTTATTCCTAGGAATTCCTAGGAATTCCTAGGAAAATCCTAGGAATTCCTAGGAATTCCAAAAGCCATTTCGCAAGGGTAATTAAGCGTTTTTGCGCTCTATCGAAAAGTACACTTATCAGATGGAAATGAGCCTCATCGTTATCTCTCTATCTAACCCGATAAGCTCAAAATGAAATTTACATTACTTCAATCCTCCTTGCAATTTTTTGTCTGAGATTTAATGGCAAATATAAACTGAATAAGAACTGTTTACAATCTCTTGCATACTATCAATTCTACCCCCTTAAAACATTTGAGCGACCCAAACCCCCCTTCCATCTTCTACTGTGCCCCCCCCCCCCCCTGCCCCACAGTGGACTCAAAGGTATTATGATATAAAGTTGTCCAGAGGAGGCTCAGGATAGGGTGTTACGTGCGGTATCTGCACATTGCTCCAGGATGTGGACAAGCTGGTTTTTTTCTGATAAAGCGACTGAGGATAAACCGTCGAAATTATAAGACGAATAACTCCAGTTTTTATCTTCAGGACCGGCATAACTGAAAGTGATTTGAAGATTGTTCAACAAAAGGTGAGTTACGTTTTCGTATGTTCATTTTGTATTCACAAAACAAAACAATACCTCAAAAGAATGCAGCTCAAGTAGTGCAAAGTTATATAATAGACATCCTAAGATCGCCAAATTGATCGCCTGTAATAAAACCTTTTAGAACCCACCTGTATTTCATGTCCCTAAGTTATTAGGGCCTCGATATACCAGGCCATTCGATGTTGATTACATTCATTTTGGCTCCAACGCAAATAATGTTAACAAGCTTTTTAAATTATAAATTACATGGGAATGAAGTGGGCAAATTAAGCAATAGAAAACAAAGTGAAATAATGACTCGAAGGGGACGAATGGGAGGACTTTGTAGACGTTGTGCTACGATTGTGTCGTTTTGGTCTCGAAACTGCTTTTCCAGTGGAGAAAAAACCTACTCAACTTTATACTTTTCATAATCGTACCGATTAAAGACATTGAACACACCGAGATGGGGTACGCCGTGTTATTGTATTTATACTCCAACCTGATGATCTCTTCCAGGATGATCCCTTGATGTCGAATATCTCGAGAGAAGGAATTCTTCGTGGATTAAAAGAATGCCAAAGGCTATTTAGAAACGATATCTGGAACTGTCCATCGGAGATGTTTAAAATGCTATCCTTCTCTAACGAGTCGACTCATCGCTATGGTAAGACCTACTAAACTTAAGGCCGGATATCTCATTAGTTCGTTGAAAATCCAATTTTCCTCCTTAGTTGCCATTGTATCAGTGTGACGCAGCAGAAAAACACCCTTTCAGTTCTATTTCCCGCAGCACCATTGCAGTAGTGAACCATGAACCGTCCATGCACCCGGTTTACACAGACTTTTGTTTAATCGCGGAAAGAGCAGTGGTAACTAAATACTTTCCCTTATTGCTCTTTCTTACAGCCACTCGGGAGACTGCTTTTATGTATGCTATAACCGCAGCCGCTATAACCCATGAATTCACTCACCAGTGCACATTGGGAAGAATCCCCGGGTGTGGATGCGGAACTTATTACGGTGATGGTGTCATAAGTGGATGTGGCGAGAATATCGCGTTCGGACAAAGGGAGGCTATGCGTCTTTTCCGAGTACCGCGGAAAAGAAGATTACGATTGGATGCTTTGACGGCTGTAAATATGCATAACTACAATCTAGGAACGAAAGTAAGTTATCATGCATAAATAAACTATTTTAAAACATCGTAAGTAACCAAGTTTTAGTTCACGCTCAGTCAGCGAAAGTTTGACGTTGGACAGCACGATCCTTTTTTTCGGTATCCCAACCCTCTACGCTTGCTACAAAACAGCAACGAAATCTGGGGAAAACTTTAGAAAATAAATAACTTTCCAAATTGTACATACCAAACAAAAGCTTTCGGCTTTAGGAGAAGTTACATCGATTTGAGACGAAAAGCTCTTAAAAGTAAAATAACAAATGCTTCCCATGACAAGCTTCCCAGGAGAAGATAACAATGAAAAAGGACGAACACATCCTCTCAGGTTAAAATGGCGAATATTCATGGAGTTTCAATATCGTTTTCTCCGTAACAGTTTCGGTTATTTCATAACTATTTTTTGTCTGTCAGTCTCCTACAGTAAACACACAGCGATTCTTTGTTAGCATACTTTTGAGGCTATTGCCTCCCGTAGGAGGTGAAGCCACACATGTTATCGAAATGAGTGAGTGAGTTCGTGAGTGAGTGATAGTAGGTACCAATAGAATGTGGAACTTAACCGATTTTGAACAAATTTCGCTTATTATTTATTTCGGAGGATCTTCGTGATCGACATTCGCGCTAGCAATTACTGGGCGTAGCATACACTTAAGAAAGAAGAATGTCTTTGAAACAAACTATTTTGTGCCCTAAGAAAACCAAGGTGTCATTTTTTTCAGTTCTTGCCGTGACATTACAGACAAAAGCGCCTCACAATCATTTCAGGATGGCGCGTAGTTAAAAACAAAATTTTCTAGCAGGAATGTCTTAATAGGTGTGATCGGGGCATCATGAAAACTAAGAGAAAAAATTTCTTAAAAGAGAGAGCCTTTCATCGTTTGAATCAGCGAATTATGCCCAGTAGATGCGAAGATATAATTTTTTAAGTTCCAAAAGATGTTAAACATCTCAAATAATTTCACAAATAATTTCGGCGCGCTATTGGTAACAAAACTTTTATTCGTGGAAATACCTAAATGGAAGGTGTGATCTTTCGAAGAGAGAGCATTTAGCGACTAACGCCCAGAGGAGGCGCGAAATTTGCAGAGCGAGCAAGTTCCAAAGTCTCACAGAGTGAACCTTTTAGACGGAATGATGGAACGGTGGAAAGGTGAAATATCCTAACACGGAATGACGGAACTTCCTAAAACGCGAAATGCCTTGTCATATGAAGCAAAAGTCTCACAAAAAAGGAATTGCAATGAGATAACAGAACAATTTATAATTAACAAGCAAAACTAAAGGAAGCATAGCTTAAGCATTATTGGAGCCAAGAGGATAGAGGAATAGTTGGATTCTGGAACTAGTTTCAATGAATTATCATCACTATTGCTATTGTTATTATTTTCATTATTATTATTATTATTATTATTATTATTATTATTATAAAATTACTATGAATATATGAAAATCATGTATGTGAACTGCGGATTGTTATTATTATAATTGTTATTGTTATCATTTCAAGGGGGTGGCACTTAATAGCCCATAGATAATAAACTTGTGGCCCACTATGAAATATCATCATTTTAAAAAAGCTGATGACAAAAGTTAAAAACTAAAAATCGATCCATCTACAATTCGATTATCAGGATGTTAGATCCCATATATCGTGAACTTTCCAAACATTATTTGAACTTTTTTAAAGATACCGAACTTTTCCTGTCTACAGATTGTCCGAGAAAGCTTGCAGCTGAAAGGAAGATGTGAAGGGGGCTTTTTTAACTCCGATCCTTGCCGAGTGAAAACAATGTGGACGGTATTGGCACCATTTGAAGTTGTTTCCTCAAAGCTTAAAGAAAAATACCACAGGGCCTTGCAGGTGTCCTTCATAAACAACAGACTTCAGCAGTTGCGCCCACATTACCCAATCGATCAAAATCTTGTGTACCTCGACGACTCACCAAGCTACATCATGCGAAATGACAGCTTAGGCATTAATGGAATGCTGGGACGGTCATGCAGGAGAGATATTAGCGATGATAAGTGTGAACTATTCACTGCTATCTGTGATTCTATTGGACTGAACCCAACAATAGTGGAGCATTTCAAGCAGGTTAAATGTAGATGTAAGTTTATTTGGTGCTGCAGAGTTGAATGTGAGACATGCACTGAGAAGTATAATGAAACAAGGTGTTCACTGTAAGCGGATACTATACTGTATGTCATGAAGAAAGAGATTTCATGGTTAACTTCCTGTAATGTCAAGTATATTAAGTGTGTGCGTGTGTTTATTGACCTAAAAGTACAAAACATCATATTTTGAAATAATCCTACCAAGTGTGTCGTTAGTGCTACAGGTTTGTTTGGAGCCCCATCCAATGCACGCCAGATACACTTGAAGACAGCGTTTCATTCAAACCACGCGACGATAGTTTTTCATCCTCGCTGAAGATAACAGATAAGATGGTTTTCCGTCTGCAGTACAATCATGACCAACGAAACAAAATATTGAATGAATAGACCTTCAGCTGTTGAGCATGCGTAATGAAAGTGTTTACCCCCCATCTTCCCCATGAATAAAGGAATAACCGAGTCAGTGTTTTTCCAAAGTTCCTTTCCAAACTTTTCTCCGTCCACACAATTCCGCTGTTTTAATTCAATCAACTTGGAGGAACAATTTCAAAAAATTAAATGCGATCGGTGAACTAATTTATCCGTGAAGGGTAGCCCCACACGTAAAAACAAAGCTGGTAAGCTTATGTCTTATCTTCCTTAGCGTTTTTGAATTTATTTTATCCGGGGCAGTGTGGTCGTAAAAGAGGTCTCTACATTTCGTTTACAGTAAGTGTTACTCAAGGTGCAGTCTTTTCGTACTTGATAACATGCATTGCGCTGAGTTGGGAAGGAGTGGAGGGAGGGTGGATAGTCCTGACTTCAGGAAACACGAGGTGTAACATCTGCTCCCAATTTACAAGCCACATACACAATACAAAAACGTTTAACTTGTTAAGAAAAGCTGGATCTTGCTCTAAGAGATAAAATAACCCAGATGGTTCATTATCGTTTAACCGAGCATAGTTTTGCCCACATTCATCAACAGGACTAAGTATGTTATCACGTTATTTCTGTTGCGATCGTAGGACTGATCGTAGGATCGATTCGTTAGGACGAGGAAACTCTTCACGTTATTTCGTGTGATTAGTTTGTCCGTTGTGCATCTTGGAGAGTCGTTTGGAAGTCGACTGATGATACGTACCAGTTCGTTTCATGCGAAGTCATCCCAGAAGATGACAGAGTAAATGCGCAATTAAAAATACTTGCTAAGGGAAATTTAGGTTACTATCGTATTTAGAACGAAGCGACTGAATCAATAGCCGTAGTAGACTACATTTATCGATCACATCGTATTCACATTTCAACATTTCACATATTTACGCAAGATGTACATGTGAATTATCTAAGCCAAGCGTAAACATTTCGTGTCATTAAGAAACAACATCAATAACATCAACCAACTGCTGCAGGCAAAGCATAGCGAAGGGCCATTCATGGTGAGCAAAAAGGGTTTCAGAGCCATTCATCGGAGGTATCCCTCTCCAGGCGAAAGAACACCACCCTTCTCGTGCATTTGTTTCTTTCCTTCAAACCATTTGTCTGATTACTGGGAGCTTATTGATTACCTAAACAACTGTAGTCTTATTTACTTTATCCACCTCAAGATAATATGATATCTATTACAAAGGAGGAAAACCATCAATAATTAGATTGATGTTTACGCTCCTGACACGTGCTATTTTCCTAAAGAGATACCTTTAATTGCATCTTCGTTAATCTCCATAGATTACCTTTAAGCTACCCTATAGAATTTGCTCTAAATAAGCTTTTTAATCAATTTTCATCTAAGACTTTGTTGAAAACGATGTTTTATCACATGGAGATGAGCTTCATCATTATCTCTCCTTTAATCCCGATGAGCACGGAATGAATTTCCCTCCTACGTGTTAACATAACTTCATTCTAATTGTAATTTGTTGTCGGAGATTTGACGTCCTGCCTGAGAAGGTAGTTTTTGCAGCATTGAGGAATGGAAACAAATAATTTCGTAATGAATGAAATTGTATAAAATGGCATAAATTTTCCATCATCATACAACAAGAGAATATAAACAGTTTCTAATCTTTCGCATACTATCCAAGACTTCCCTCCCTTGAAATTTGGGGGTCCCTTTCCCCCCCTCCCCCCATTTCCATATGTGCCCCCTACCCCACAATGCACTCAAAGGTCTTATGATATAAATTTCTTCCGGAGGGGCAACAGAGAATGCACAATCGAAATTATGAGACGAATAATTCCAATTTTTGTCTTCAGTACCGGTATAACTGAAATTTAAAGATTGGAAAGAAGTGTGTTCCGTTTTCGTAGTTTCTTGTTCACAAAACAAAACTTTAACACAACAGAATACAGGTAAATAAGTCCAAAGTCGTAAAATAAACATACTAAGATCGCCAAATTGATTGCAGTCACCGGTGCATTAAATGTGTCCAAACGCTGCATGTAATAAACCACCGCCTAACGTCTCTTTGAACTCATATGTATTTCACCTCCCTAAGTTAGTATGGCCTTGACAAACCAAGCCATCTGATGTTTACTGCATTCATTTTGGCTCCAACACACGTAATGTTAATAGGCTTTTTCAATTACATATTAAATCGGAATGAAGTGGTCAAATTAAGCAAATATAAAACAAAGTCAGGGACGGATCAAGGGTGGGCTGTGAGTTGCAAGTACCTAGACGGGAGGGGGGGGAACTTTGTAGAAGCTAGTGTTTTTTTTCGGCCTCGAAAATGCCTTTCCAATGAAAAAAACCTACTCAACATTATACTTTTCATAGTCATACCGATACCATCGTCATACCCGTAACCTCAGTGATACTGGTGCAGTGCCCTATCAACTGAATTAATCAACTGAGTGATTGAAGCGTAGGTCGCAATAAACCCGTGAAGTGGTAAATAATTGACTGTGAATATCTGAAAATCATATATATGAACTGCAGATTAATAAATGAATTTGAGAATGATAATCGCAGCGATGAACACTATTTAAACATTAATACTTATTGGAAATATTAAGGACGGCAGGCTTGCGACAACCCCCTGTAAGGAAACAATCTGTCTATCTTCGCCTATTAGCTGATCATGGCAAAGGCCACCTTAATTCCCAACTTTCAGGCGGTCATGGCAAAAGTTCCAAGCGGGACTTCTTTTATTAAACTTTAAAAATACGTGAACTTTGATCGGTTTTTGTCAAAATCTTTTCAACCAGAGGTGGCAGAGAAGGCATTTGTGTCCAAGGGAATTGGTAAACAAAAGACCAAGGAATTGCACATTTTTGCTTAAATGTTAGCGGATTCATGGATCACAAGTCGGCAGAAAATTTCAGCGAGGATCCCGGCTTTTCGTCGGGCTGGTTCGGTACGCTGATATTCTTTAGACTTCAGAAACTTTTCAGTCTCTTGGCTTAAAACCCTCGTCAGCTCAGCAATGCAGTATATCATGATTACACACCACTCTTTGAAAAAGCCAGCAAGGAGAACATATCGGTGGAGAATCTAAATATTGTAGAAGAAAAGCAAAATATACATCTCTCTGTTATTCTCATTTGCAATCGTCAACTAATACCACGGAAAGTTTTAAAGCAACGCCGATCCACACTTAAACGAAAATAAGGCTAGATCATTAAATATAACAGTTCCAACGATAGTGATGACAGGCGAACTTACATAACCTTATTCACACGCTTTCAACCAAATTAGGAACTAGTGGCGTTCTGGTCATGCATGCTGGTCACTAGGGAAGATGATCGTGGTCTCTCCTGATTGGCCATGAACACTGGAAACAACAACTTGGCATGACACCAAGCCTTCCACTGAGTCCGAAGAAATAGTCCAGGCAATTTGGGCTTAGTACTGACAATAAGAAACTCAGTAACCAAGAAAATTGCTTTTGTGAAGGAGAGGATCTATGACCTGTAGTGATCTTAAGAACAAGTCTCTGTAAGAATCAAACATCTTGGGAAATGAAAATTTTCAACCCCCCTTCAAATTTTGCATGCAGTTAGGCACTCAGGAGGGATGCACAAAAATGCCCTTTTTAAAGGTCGCAGCATGTTGCCATGGTAACAACGGCTGCTTGTTCGAGGCTCGGAGCCTCATTTTCATACAAAAACGTCGCAAAAAAAGAGTGAAATGTTTATTTCTCTATCTCAAGCTAAACACGACATTATAAATTGGCACTTCTACCATACATAGTGACATCATTCGTCTTCACTTTGACTCATTCAATTTTCCCTGAGAGTGAATGTGAACACACAAATAGATTATTCATCTTGATACAGTTTCGGTCATTTTTGTTGTCGGGTAAAACAGGGAAAAAGTTTATCTGAATTTCTCCAAAAGTACACCGATTCTGGAACTGAAACTACCCACCTAGCTGGTTGTAATATTCTAGTTTTTAAATATGTAAAAATCTCTGCGGGCCTGCCTCTACTTTTTATAGGGGCAATGCGCGAAAAAAGCTCAAAACCAGATATTGCATAATTTGGTGATGTTTACATCTAATGTTCTCAAGGGGAGTAAAATCGCTCCTAGTTGTTTCATGCCATGGAAAATGGAATAAGATACGACTACATGGGCAACTTAGCTCGACTACAGAATTTAGCTTTTTTTTTTACCCCAGTAAACGTTTTTTAAAGCTACTTCCTTTACGTCCTCAAAAGGCCATCTTTTGAAGAGCATTTTCAAAGATGAAATGCAAATGTTGTACTGATTTATACAGATTGTGTGTGTTTGTGCGTGTGTGGGGGGGAGGCTGTTTTTGTATTCATTCTTTTTAGCCTTTTTAGATGTATTAAATCAGAAGAAGTTTGATCGTAAAAAAGGACTCTACACTTCTCTTTGATTGAAACTTTAATCCAAGTGCTATCTTGACGGGGTAAAGAGTTGATAGCAACCATTAGTAAGCTTATAAATTCTGGCTGTAGAGAAAAATGAATTGAAACATCTGCTTCCAATTTACTCGCTACATACACAAAGCAAAGATGGTAGACGTGTCTTGAAAACTCGAATCTTAAAATAAGAGGTCAAATAACCCAGATGGTCATCGATGTATTGTTCAATTCATGGAAGATAATACCATGATACCACAAAAGCACATATTGTTTTACCGAGCATAATTTTGCCACTCATCAGCAGGATTAATTAGTATATTGTCATCTTTATTTTGCTGCGATCGTCAGACTGTGATCGTTTTGTAAGGAAGATGAAGCTTTTTACGTT